CACCTATAATGTAGATATCAGTTAGACCTCACCTCAGGTATCCCGGAGCCACAGGCATAGGGAGCAAATACCTTCACCAGAGAAACTGCTAAGAAGGCAAAGCTCAAAGCCCAGAAAATGTACATTATGTAGTTCATTATGTATGAACCTGGACCCTAAAAGCAAAAACAAAAACCAAAACAAAAGTCAGGATATACATTTGGTGTAGGAGCAAAATCACTACATAAAACCCCGGAATGATGCTTGCTGCAAGTACAGTTATGCACACACTCTGAGGGACCGTAATTATTAGCAAGCCAAGGAAGAGGGAATTTTGCTGGAGAAGAATGAAGTTGTGGCACGTGTATGTCAGCAACGACTGGGTTATACAAGGCAGGAAGTGTTCTATTGCTTCCTCTTAAAAATAAACACGGCACAGGTATACTTCCAGTAGCTACGAGCTGCTAAAAGCTACTGCACGTGAGCAGATCTTCTTTATTTAACAAGTTTTGTGGTAGAAAAAAGAAAACCCAAACTGTTGTTAGTTATCAGAGAACACCACAAATTTATTTTTTCTGTATAGCTATGATCAAGAATAAAGACCCTTTGGTTATTAACAGCTCTGTAGCCTCCTAACTTCCTTCCACCTGCCACACTCGGAGCCCCCGTGCAGCGCATGAAACGCACGTCTCTTACAGCAGAACCCACTAACCAATTCAAACGCAGGGACGTGGCGCAGACAATACAACTCCAATATGATTTTAGTGCCCTAACCTTCAGGCCACTATATTTTTCCATCCTCAGTCGAGCTGTTGAGCAAGCCCATCAGAGAAGGGGTGTACACTTACTTCTGCTTGCCCGATTATGAGTTCCGCCCATGTCTTCCACTGGGGACATTTATCTCTCTCTTCAAACGTGGTCTCATTCGAACCCCAACAACACTGTTCATGGTTAAACCACAAAGCACTAAGGCAAATGCCTTCCTTTAAGTCAGTCATCCAGTCAGCAGCAATGTCAATTAATCCTGCCAATGCCCCTGTTGTGGAAAGAGTTTTGTGTTAATATTCTGGTAAAGGGGAGTAGCGCACACAGCTGAAATGAATGAATGCACTGGTATAAATGGATGTAAACTGCAATTAGAGAAAACTGAAAGAAATAGACATCGAAAATATGACTTATTTCCAGGAATACATCCTTTTCCAATATGGCAATTTTAGTATTTGCTTCAGAATCTGGTACCTTGCATATTACCCAAGGTAAACGCCTTTTTTTTTTTCCTATGCCACAATTCCAAAATAGTCCACTGAAACTCGAGTTAAGACTCAAAAGAGGACTGACACATTTTTGTGATGAAAAAGACAATAGACCTCCTGACCAAACTACCTTACCATGCCTCAGAGAACTCAGGAACTATTCGACTGCTTGGTACAGAACAGCACGTTTGGAGAGAATAAATCTTACCTTGCCATCAGCTTTATAACAACAGAAATAAAACCTCAAATAACACCTGATAACAATTCGACTGTTTGGTACAGAACAGTACCAAAAAAATCTTACCTTGCCATCAGCTTTATAACAACAGAAATAAAACCTCAAATAACACCTGATAACATCACGTAACCCATATCCAAAATGACTTAATTCTGTAACATGGGGAACATGAAATTCCTCCTTCAGGTACCAGTTTGACAGTAAGCAGTTCACAAGCTCAAAGCCTAAGAGGGATTCTGTGCTGTAACTATGTGCAGAGAACTTGCTGAAGAGTCCTCCAAAAACAGGTGTTACTTAGGAAATTGCTTCAAAGGATTAAAAAATATATGTACACACCCCTTTTTATTTTACAAAGGCAAACTAGTTTTTCATAGTAGCAGTATACTGAAAAACAACTTCTAAAATTAATATTTTGTGAACATGTACTACTGCTAATTAGTTATAATTTACTATGTTTAAGGTATTAATCACTACTAGAAACAGCTGTCTAGAGACAGCCACAATTTACTTGTGTATGTTGGTAGCAGAGAATTACCTCCAATGTACTCATTTAATTATCTTGACAGACCCTCAGCTTGAGATCCTGGGCCAACCCAAGTCAGTCAAAGGCAGTATTTCAGTAAACAAAATTCCCACCAAATCAGTTAAAATATATAAACATAAGATCTCCCCCACAACTGAAATCGAAGTTGTACCACCAAAGGTTCACTAGACACACAAAACAAAGCAACTGAAGCTGAAAAACCTAGGAATGCCCGTGGCCAGAACCCGCTCCCTTTAATGCTCAGAAATTAGACTTGCTGACAAACATAAGAAAGAAATGCTTAGATTTTTAATTTACCAGATGCCAAACCAGTTAGTGTGACTACTAGCCATCCTGACCATGCATCGTACAAACTTTTTGTCATCTCCCATGCTGATTCTTTCTTCTTGCTGTTAATCTGCAAAGAGAAACCATCATGTACACTTGTACGTCTTTCTGTAGTACGAGTAAGAGAAAAAAAGTGAGCAGGGCATAAACATTCTACTTGTATTTCGTGCTGCACCCATATGAATCAGCTTCCTTACTCAGATATCGAAGGGCTGACAGATGGACAGAGGAAAGTAAATTTGCTTAATTTAAAGAACTATGACCCAGGAAATGCATTATCAGGATAAATGAATACTTTCTATGATACACATCTAAAACACGTAATTGTAAAATTTTTGTAACAAAAATTATTTTTTGTTGAATCTCAAATAATTAGCATACTAATAAGCTATTACAATTCAAATTCCTTCTTAAATCTTCCACTTAAAATATAAGCATCTTTTATCTTTAGACCAAAACCACACAAAAAACCCACTGAAAAACTGGATAACTACCTTATAATAACTTCTAGACAACTACTAGTAATGACATCTAAAATTATTATACTGAAAAAACAGTAATTCTTATTTTAGCCTTATTTACTTTGTGCACAGAGCTGAAATTTGTGCATAACTTGGTTTATGATTAAACCTTCATTATGTAACTGGATACTATCATTACGATTTTTTTTTCATACTGTAAAAGGAGGGAAAATGTATGTGCAACAAACAGAAGAAAAAAAAACAAAAAACCAAAACCTCTACATTTGTGAGATTTTCATTTTTGGGCTCCTCTCTAACCATGGGCATATCTCCATTCTCCCAGCCCCTGCCCTTGCCTTATGTGACTCGGGTTGCCAGTGAAGACTGAGGAAAAAATACTTTAGGAAAATCACATCTCCAAATCCCTTCTGTCTTGAAGGTTAATTAACGTAAGCATCCCAAAAGTTTGGCAGTAAGGCTCAAAGTAGCACATTTCCCCTCCTGAAACACTGTTAAACAAGTCTATTACACGAATGACAGTGTAGAGCATGTAACTGCCTAACCCAACTCTGGACCCCTGAATGAAAGACCTTGTTGCAGAGCACGCTGACAAAGACAAACGGCCTCAACTTTGAGGATGTGTGAGTGGAAAGGCCATTCACTATATCTACGGAGACTACTTTTTTGTTAAGCATGTATACACTGATGTAAATGGTTTAGATATGAAAATTTTCGCTTTCCATAATCCAAACAAACTCAGCACTACGTAGCACTAGCACAGGTACACTTGTACCAGTATAAAAGCAATATACACCAGAGCTCACTTTTCTGTACAAGTACCCCCATAAGCACTATAGTACTGCTACAAGTACACCTAGAGTGGAAAATAGCCTTAAACATGCTAGCAAGCAAAAAAGCAGTAGTGTAAAAATGTCATTTGGGTGAGGGAAACTCTTTCCACTCTGTTAAACCGCTGCCTCCCTTCCAAGTTAAAATAGTGTTGCAGGACTCAATCAATGAAACTGTAACTTTTTTATAGCGTTCAAGTAGTTGTAGGTGATGTAACTACTTCCAAATTTAAGGTATGCACCTATTTGGATTTTCTGTTAGATTACTGTTACTTATCTCAAGTACCCGTCTATGCCTTTCTCTGTCTTTGCACTTCTCTCGAACCCAGTCAATGGTATGGAAGTCATCGTACGTTCCTACTCCGGGAATCGGTTCATCCAGAAGATCCAGTAAATGTGTTGAACTGTTGATACTTCCGCCATTTGTCATTGTATAATGAGTTCCTGCGGCAGAGGAAAGACGGGAATGAACAAAGTCTGCAATAAGCAACGTATTCCAATGTTCGTAACACTACAGCAGATCAAATTTCTGAACGAGCAATTAAGACACGGCCCATCATATGCATATTCTACTTCATTTAGGTGTCTCAGTGCTGCATACCACCTTTTTTTCTCTAACTCATCTGTATGTTCAATTTGCACATTAGTGACTCTGTATTTCCACTGTTTAAATAAGAATGCACTGGGCAAACTCTCATTCTATTTTGTGTGCAGACTCCTGAGAAACTTGAGCAGAACAAAGTGAAAAAAAACAGCAGCTTCAACACACACTTGCCTTGAAGTACATTTCAGTTTATGGACTACCAGAGGAAAATCTGACTATAAGAAAACAAACCCAGACGATTCGATATGAAGTTCAGAGCACTTCCATAAGTGGGCATTTTCAAATATACATACTTTTGATTACCAATCTCTCCTACATGTCTCAACCAAACCTAAAATACATTATCAACGGATTATCAGTGCTGCTAAAAAGTAACAGCAAGCCAAGCAAATACTGCTTTTTTAAACCTTTTTCTAATTTTTATTTCAAGGAACTCACAGAAGAGCCCTCGGTCATGAAAGTTGGAAATACTGCATAAAGAAAATGTCTAATACTAATCTGTCATCACTCCTTCACAGGCAACTGGCACAGCAACATCTCCAACAGTATTTCCTTCAGTCATCAGAATAAGAAAAGCAAGAGGAGTACCAAAAATTTCTCCCTCTTCACAACTTTTCTTTTTATTAAGCTTTCAAATGTCATCAATTCTGTATTATCTTGGGGGTTTTTTGAGTTCCTGCAGTATACATACAAACCCCAAGTATAATCTTCTGCCGGGGGGCTGCCAAAATAATAGCCTGGCCACCATTTGCCCACCAAACACCAACTGCTGCTGCAACAGTAACTGCTGCAAAGGGAACATGTATAATGAGGTTAATATAGACAATGAGTTAAAGAGGGATTACTCTCACTTGTTTGACTAGAACAAAATAATTTGGCCAACAGCATATGGCGTACCACAGTAATCCCTGTTCTTAAACGTGTTGGCCGAGACCTCCATCAGCTCAGACAGGCACTACAACTCACTCCACCAGAGTGACACTAGGCAGGTGGAGTTTTTCGTGTTGTTCTTGTCCGTTTGACTTTTTTTGGTTTTCTAACACCAAGAAGCTGAGCCTGCAGTTATCAGAAGTTTACAACTTATTAAAAAAAAAAAAAAAATTTTTTTTAAAAATCAAAGGTCTTCAAAGGGCCAACTTGTAAATGCCTTCCAAATGCTACAAAAGCTGAGCTCACCAACAACAATTAGACTTATGCATAGGTAAAATCTGCTTTTTCCTTTTAAATTCGTGAAGTCTGAGATCTAGCAGAAGCAGTCTGACAGCTGGCGTTATACTCAGAGCCAAAGATGTGCCTCAGCCACCTACTGCTTCAGGGTTTGTTTATACCTGCTACATAACACATTGTTTATTTCAACATTTTCTTAGCGGTGAAAGACAATACACAAGAAAATAGTACAAAAATCCTATGAAGACAAAATGTGACCTTAAATTTCCAAGATAAACAAACTACTATACATTACATATAGACATCATATACAGGAAAGCTTAAAATTCTATCGAATTCTATGTTTTTCTTTTTTTAAATCTTAAAGGAAAAGAAGAGAATGCAAATGCAGGAGACAAGACCTCAGCAATGCCAGTACCATTCTCTCATGCTATCCCGGCTGCCATCTTTCTTCATGATGGTTTTTTATGCCACATTAAATTCTCCCTCATCTATTCTCCATAGCTAAGTCCTGTAAATCTAAAGCTGCTGCTAGTCTCTCTTAAGGCAGATGTAGGGAAGCATTTCCTATGCTTCCATTAATAAAAGGCTAGCAGCAACAAATTAAATCACATTTGCTAATAGAGGTGATTGTGAAAAGCTTGCTTTAGGATATGGGATTCCATTCTCTTAACCATTTCCAATTCTCAGAGTTAGAAATTTAAGATACACGTCTGGCTCGCTGAAAGGCCAAGCCAATCTTGTGGAAGAGGCAGTAACAAAATTCACACTGTAATGATTAGTTTAGCTCTCAAAATTAAAATACTAACAGATATTAAAAGAATAACAGAATAAAAACGTTATTTTTACATGAAATTATCCTGCTTTGCAAACCGAGGGGACATAAATTAAACTCAGCCATAGTTTAATAATTAATCTCCAACAAAGTACAATGTGATCAAGCAGCTGCCTGAACCTGAGTGATCACGGTAGGACAAAAGCTTGCCTTTGCCCTGGGGTAACTGGTTTTATGCCCTGTTATATATGAAGCAGTATCAAGCTGTAAGGAGCATGCAACCCTATGCCACACAAGGCAAAGGGGAGTTCAGAGTTGTAAATCTATCACAACCAGTAGCAGATGATTTTATGCATATTACACGATGCTGAATTGGAATTCTCTCCAGGGAAATCATCAGGGGTGGCACCACACTCACTGCCCCATATCCCAAGCAGAACTTGGAGTAAACTACAAAGAATGCTCGTTGCCTGGCTATAATAAAAACCCACCAAAACTGTGTCGGGTTCCTACTCTGCCAGCACACCAAACACTGGAATATAAATGATTCTTGTATGATGGGAAGGAAACGTGGAACAAGAGGTGAGGCTGAAGAGGTGTTCTGGTGGAAGAGCTGCTGAGAGCACCTGATGTGGCTGAAGAGCTATACTCTTGTACAAGGTGAGAAATAGGCAACTACTGTATGGTAGAAAGGCTGCCCTACAGAGCACAACTGTACAAAACCTCAGGCTCTGTATGTAAGATATATTAAGCCTGACAGCAGTCAGAGGGGACATTCTCCAGCTAGCATTATGATCTACGTAGCATCTAACTATTCCAAGGGAGAATTTCCAGTAATACACCTTTACCAAGAGTGAACACTTTTCTAAACTTCCACTTTGCTTTCTTCCCTTTCCTAGCATTTCACAAAGAATGATGGTACGTCCATCTACGACAATAACGGTTCTCATTGGCATAAACACATGCAAATTCTCATAATTTATTGTCAGTTTCATCAAAGCGTTCTTATTTTCAACTCAAAAGATTTTGTTAAAATCCTTACCACAATAGAGATTTTTCACCACAACACTCTAACCTCCAAGTAGGAAATCATCACTACCCTGATAAATTGTAGCATTTAGCAAATGTAGCCTTCTGGACATTCCGCACGTTGAGAAAGCATTTCCCCTTCCTTCCTCCCCCCTTTTCCCCACTCCTCAACTTCCAAGACTCTTTCTCAGTCCACAACTCAATGCTTTTCATCAAAACACAAGCAGCCTTAGTCTTAAAAAACCACAGCAAGCGCTTAGCACACAAGGCATATAAGCACAGCCTCTAGCGATAAGAGAACACCCCCACTTTCCATACGTACACACCGGAGCCATTCTGCAGCTGCAAAGAAAGTAAAGCCTTCACTTCGTTACATATGAGTTTGCTTAAGGCTTTGTTAGACTGGGAAGCAGATAGTGAAAGTTGCAGGCAAAACTTTTAATGTTACTGTTATTGCACACTAACCCATGTTACTACAGGGAGGCAAATACTAATATACTGATCCTCTCGGAGGCTCAATACAACTCACAGGAATGCTTACAAAGCAAATTCAACACAATCCTTCCATGCCTAGAAGAACTAAGGTAGCTGGCATCCCTTTATTAGCACACTCTGCCCCAACAGCATCTTTAAGAATGCTGTATTCTCAACACCTAACTAGTGAGCTGCTGCAACCACAGACTGCAAGCCTGCACACCGTAAGCTTCTACACAATAAAAGCAACATGCTTTCACAGAGAAAGGAAATTGTCTTTTTTTTAGGTGATTCAGACGCTGTAGGTCTTGCCTAAACTACTTTCTAGGGAAGAGCTGACTTCTTATCCTTCCATGCATATAATTCCAAGCCTTCAGCACAGTATTTTCTCTGCCATCAGTGCTGGTAGTGCTGAAGAACAGCTTCAAGGTTAAAAAAACCCAAAACCAAACACAAAACCCAGAAACAACTAAAGTATATCACACACCCTGCTGAAAGAAAAAACCTGTAATCTGCTGAAAGAAAAAACGTATAAGCATGAAGTAAAACGCTGTACGCTGGGACACATGACCAGAATGAGGTACAGCAAAAATGAACAAAAATGCTACATGGACGAAACTGGAATAAGAGACATAGATTCCAACCCCTTAATAAAGCTCTCATCTCAGAAGAAGTGGGAGGGTTTTTTTTATTGTTTGGGTTTTTTAAATGAGAATGAAAAAAAATATAGTCCAGAATCACTTGAAAGGACACTAAGCCTGACAGAGAAAGCAGTCCTTACCATATTGCTCTCCTTCATCCTTCATCTCTTCATCAAACGTGAGGTTACACTGAATGGCTGTTAGCTCCCAAGTGATCCACCCTCCTGCTCTGCTCAGCTGGTCCCTCTTGACACAGAGCAGGACCGAAGCAATGAGAGAACTAATATTTTGCTGTACTCATACAAGTTGTTTCATACATTACCGACTCTGCCTTGCCTTATGCCTCCCTGAGGCAAGAAGTACCATTTCTTTCATACTGTACATACGTGCCTTCATACCAGTAGTCTTCAGTTTGACTGATGCTGGAAGTACAGTAAACATGACAAAAAGCTTCTTTATGTAGATTACAGCACTTTTCAGGTGCCACAAAGAGCATTTTCAAAGTATGCCTCGCCTCCTCTAGCAGTGATCCCACACTCCCCTGTCCATTTGCAACTCAGTACATTTCTTTCACTTTTGAAAGCAACTCTGGGCAACATGTGGCTGGTGAAATCTGTGGGAATATTTCTAAGAAAAATACCTGCTAAGTTTTAGCTAATTTGTTTAAAAAGAGAAAGATCACATCAGCCAGGACTAATACCTTTAAAATATGAGCAGACCATTACTGACGGTTCACTATGGTACAGTTCCAAAA